GCCGGAGACTAGACTCCCTTCCTGGTTGTGCAGATGGCTGTTGTCTGGGACGGTGATCTGTAAGTTTTTTCCCCTTTAAATAAATAACACCCTATTAATCATAACTCCAAACTGGTGTGGCCTTGTTCGTGACTTACGCCTTCAGGGATGTTCCCCTGCTTTCTTTCCTGCCGGTGGGTCTCCAGAAAAGCAGTCAAAGTATCAAAGGTTGTTAGGCAGACTCCCTATATAAGCAGCTACAGCTCAGAGCTCAGGGCCCCTTGCTTTCTGCTCTCCCTATAACCAAGAGGCTCCAATAAAGTGTGATTTGAGAAGAATCCTCGTCTGGTGGCTGTTCCTTCCTGCTGGTCAGGGAGTTCGCCGCAATAAGGGGCTGGAGAGATGGCTCAGAGGTTAAGAGCATTGCCTGCCCTTCCAAAGGTCCTGAGTTCAATTCCCAGCAACCACATGGTGGCTTACAACCATCTGTAATGAGATCTGGTGCCCTCTTCTGTCCTGCAGGCAGAATATTGTATACACAATAAATAAATAAATATTAAAATAAATAAATAAATAAATAATAGAAAAAGAAAAAAGAAAAGCTCTGGTAAGTTTGCATGCACTTTTAGAAGTTTCTAAAGGAATATTTCAAAAAATAGTGGTTTTGGATTTTTCTAGGACTGGGAACTGAGGCATAGGAGAACCAAATTTCTGCAACTCCTTTTATTATGAAATCCCCATCATTCAAAAAACTTTTCGTATTTCTTATTTTGTAAGGGCTCTTCCCTACTGGAAAGCCACAGTCGTGCTCTCTCTCTGAGTGAGCACGCAAATCCATATACACCTGAGAACTGAACCCAGGGCCTCTGGAAGACCAGTCAGTGTTCTTAACCACTATCTCACTGTGTAGTTCTGTCTGGCCTGGAACTCTTTATGTAGATCTTCAAACTCATAAAGATCTGTCTGCCTCTGGCTCCCTAGTCCTGGGATTAAAGGTGGTGTCACCACGCCCAACTACAACCCCTCTCCTTTACCCTCTCAGAAGTTTTCATTCAGATCTCTTTCCTCCTTGGCCCTTATTCTTTCCATTCTCATTGGTCTCCAATTCCCTAATTTCTCATTTGGAAAAAAAATTAAGAGTAGCTGGGATTTTACATATAAGTGCAATCCCCTCCTCCACCTCCTGGCCGAAAGTGGGCGGCAGATTCTCTGGAGCTGAGCACTGAGTGGGACCTGGGTGCTGGGAAACAAACTCAGATCTTCTACAAGAGTATAAGCTCTTAACTACTGAGCCATTTTTCCAAGCCCCAGAAATTAATATATAGATGTATATATATATATATTAACACACATATATATTACATTAAAATATTTATTGGTTATGTGTACATGTGACACGGTGCACATCCAGATATAATTCTGGAGATCTTGGTTCGTCGAGTTTAATGGCTGGCTATAGCTGATTTTGCTCAGCGGTGAAGGTTGTTGGGATGACCCAAGGGATATCCCGCAGGACCTAAAGGAGGCGCTAAGAATCCGGGTTCGGGCGGGAAGGACTCTTCAGCAAGGCCGACGCTAAGGGCTAAAGAGCCATAGCGCCCCCTACAGCGAGTGCGGATGAGAGGCTGACGGGATCACGTTGCCGCCTCCTACCAATAGCAAAGTAACACTCGCTTCCTCCGTTCCCCATGGAAACAACGCCGCCCCAGTGCTCCCGCCTCTCCTGTGGTGAGGTTTTGGCCTTTCATTGACTACTCCAGGTGACAATCAGACACCCGCTCCTTCTGGCTGGACAGTTCGTGTCCGGGACACGAGCGACTACGCCGACTGGTCATGAAGCGAAGCCTGGTTCATCCTCACCCAATGCTGCTTTTCTGGGGCGGCCGCGTGAGTCTCAGAGCCAATCAGAGGCGACGTCGCTTGTGCGCCTCCACGTCGGCAGCAGCTGCGGTCAAGATGGAGGCACTGATTTTGGTAGGAGCTGGAGGGCCGGTGGCGCCGCCGCGCTGTCCAGAGGGTCCGGGAGGCGGGGTTTAGCAGTTGTGGCCGGGAGAGGGGAGTTCCGGGCAGGCCTCGAGGGCCGAAGCTCCCGCGGCCCGAGGAATGCGAGTGTGGCCTACTTGGGACCTAGAGCTGCGGTTCGGAGGAGGAAGCCTTGCCGGGAAGAGGGCAGAGTCGGTGCAAAGTTGGAGAGCAGGCGGGGTCCTAAGGACAGTTCTTAGTGTGCTGGATGTTCTCCCAGATGGTTAGCATTGTGAATCACACCTACTTGAATTTCCCTAAACCATCATATTCCCCTCAAGTTGCAACAAGAGAATAGAGATGTTTTCTTAGCCTCAGATACTCCTGGTGGTGGTCAGTATACGATAATTAACAATTCCGTGTCATCTTCCTCATGTTTTCTGCTTCTTGTTAATCCTTAGTATATAGCACTGCATCCAAGTTCTGGAATGCCTGTTAGAGCTAGTATTGATTTTGGAATATATTTTCTGACTCCTTATTCTGTCTCCTTTCCCCCCTCCTTTAGATTTTAGGAACTGTAGTACCTTCCTCTGGTTACATGAGAATTGTGGTGGCTCCAGGAATGCATTAGCTCCTTTGTCTGTTCCTTTCTGCTTGTTCAAATAGAACGCAACCCCTTTAAAATAGGATCAGACAGCATTTCTTTCACGTGCACTGGTGGGCAGTTTGGAGATGCCTGAGTCTGCCTGCCTGTGTCTGTGTGTTAGTGTAAGAATTTAACTTCCAGATTCTTTCATTGAGTTGAATTCCAGGATTGTTTCCATAGAGCCTTCCTTGGCTCCTCTTTTCCTTTAGATTCCTTGTGTGCATACATGTCAAACCCTGTCAGTAAAAGAAAACAAAACAAGTTTTACCTTCTTTCTTTTTTAAAAGAAAAAAAATTTGGTGTTTATTTTATTTTGTTTTATTTTGTGTGAGACAGGGTCTCTCTCTCACTCTCTCTCTCTCCCTCCCTGGAACCCCAGCTATTCTGGAACTTACTGTGTAGACCTCACTGGCCTCAAACTCACAGAGATTCACCCCCTCTACTTTCCAAGCACTGGGATTAAAGGTTGTGCCCACCGTGCCAGCGTGAGTGAGGGTTTCATATAGACCATACTGGGATCACCTTTGCCACACAACTAAGGCAGAGCACTTACCGCTGACCCATCTGCCTGTATTTTCTTACTTCCCTTCTTTCAAATGTCAAAGAAAATTTACTCTCATTATGTGAGTTAGGCAAGTCGAAGCAAAATGCTTACTGTCTTGAGTAGCTTCAAGTACTTACTATACCAGTCAGTTAATGAATTTTTTTAAAATATTTATTTGTTTATTATGTATACAATATTCTTTCTATGTGTATGCCTGCAGGCCAGAAGAGGGCACCAGACCTCATTACAGATGGTTGTGAGCCACCATGTGGTTGCCGGGAATTGAACTCAGGACCTTTGGACTCTTAGCTGCTGAGCCATCTCTCCAGCCCCAGTTAATGAATTTTTTTTTTTTTTCTTTTTCGAGACAGGGTTTCTCTGTGGTTTTGGAGCCTGTCCTGGAACTAGCTCTTGTAGACCAGGCTGGTCTCGAATTTACAGAGATCCGCGTGCCTCTGCCTCCCGAGTGCTGGGATTAAAGGCGTGTGCCACCACCGCCCGACTATTAATGAATTTTTTAAATCTGATAACAGATGTGGATAAAGTCTGTGGAATTGGTCTCTTTGGATGTTTTTAACCTTTTTAATCAGGTGTGTAGATCACACCTATAACCCCATCACTCAGGAGGCTGAGGCTGTATTGCTGCTAGTTTGAGGCCAGCCTGGGCTACAGAATAAGATCTTGTCTTATCAAACCAAAATTAGCCGGGTATTGGTGGCACACACCTTTAATTCAGGAGGTAGAAGCAGGAGGATCTCTGTGAGCTTGCGGTTAGCCTGGTCTACAGAGTGAGTTCTGGGGCAGCCAGTACTATTACACATAGAAACCCTGTTTCAAAAAACAAACAAAAACCAAGCACCAAAATTAATTTAGTAGAACTAGCTTAAAGAATAAAGAAGGTGCTGGGCGGTGATGGCACACACCTTTAACTCAGCACTTAGGAGGCAGAGGCAGGTGGATCTTAGAGTTTGAGACAGCCTGGTCTACATAGCGAATTCCAGGTCAGCTCGGTCAACACAGAAAAATCCTATCTTGAAAAAGAAGAACAAGCAAAGAGAGCAAGGAAGGTGATACTCGCGTTGGTTCTGTTGGGCTGGTGTAGTGCAATGGTAGAGCACACGATCTAGCTGGCTTTAAAAGGCCCTATATTTGGCCCCAGCACTGGGAGAGTTAAGTTATTCAGATAATCTCTGTCATTTCTCTTCCTTCTCTGCCCCTCTTATTCTGTGTGGTCTCAGCTTGCTTCTTTCTCATCCGTCCACTTTCATCGGAACTAAGCCCTACATGTAGTAACAGAGCCTAACTTGCTTGGATGCCCCTTACCTTTACTTTTTTGTTCTGTTTTTTTTTTTTTTTTTTTTTTTTTTGTCTGGGACAGGGTTTCTCTGTGTAACAGCCTTGGCTGTCCTGGAATTTGCTCAGTAGACCAGGCTGGCCTTGAACGCACAGCTCTGCCTGCCTCTGCCTAGGCGTGTGCCACGCCTGGTCCTTACCTTTACTTTGAAAACCATACTGAGGGGCTGGAGAGATGGCTCAGAGGTTAAGATCATTGCCTCCTCTTCCAAAGGTCCTGAGTTCAGTTCCCAGCAACCACGTGGTGGCTCACAACCATCTGTAGTTGGGTCTGGTGCCCTCTTCTGGCCTGCGGGCATACACACAGACAGAATATTGTATACATAATAAATAAATATTTTAAAAAAATACTTAAAAAAAAAAACAAAACCATACTGAGTCTTTGCCACTAGCGCACTTTCCAGTGCAGCCTGGTACAAAAGCTCCATTCTACTTTGGCTTCTTTGTTCTCCCAGAACAAATCTCTGGTTTTTTGTTTTGTTTTGTTTTTTCGAGACAGGGTTTCTCTGTGGTTTTGGAGCCTGTCCTGGAACTAGCTCTGTAGACCAGGCTGGTCTCGAACTCACAGAGATCCGCCTGCCTCTGCCTCCCGAGTGCTGGGATTAAAGGCGAAATCTCTGTTTTTTGAAACACTCTCATTATGTAGCCAGAGCTGGTCTTGGATTTGTAATCTCCTAGTTTCTCACCAAGTTTCTCTCTGATGTTTCTGTAGGTTCTTAGACTTCTTCATTGTGCAGAATTTCCTTTCAGTGATCAGTTGTATACAGTTTTTGTTGAGGATAAAATACCTACTGGTACTTGGGGAGTACCTATTTTAGGTCCAGTATTTGGGAGGCAAGCAGGTGGATCTCTGTGAGTTTGAGGCCATCCTGGTCTACACAGAGAAATCTTGTCTAAAAAACTAACCAAACAATAACCCCCAAACCTCCTGTGTATGTGTGTGTATACATCCATACATACATACACACCTTCTGTCTTTGGGCTTCAGGCATGCAGGTTATACACATATCGGCAGGCAAAACCAGCCATATACATAAAATAGATCTTTTAAGAGTCATTTCTGACTTAGCTCATGATCGAGTTTGTCTAATCTTCCTTCAGTCCTTGTCTCTCAGCTCCCAGCCTCTCCTGGCCTCAGCCTCCTCTGCTGCTGTCTCTGCCCTCTCTTCTCAGTGCTTGCCATTCTCCATTTATAATTTGGAATCTTAAAGTTAATAACTTATGCTTTCCTTCGGCCTTTGCTTTTTTTTCACCCTCAAAGCTGAATTACTGTAGTAGTTCAGATCCTTAAAACCTTTGTACATTGATTTTTTTTTTCTTCCTATTTCCAGGTTTTAATTTCAGCCCAGTGTTTTACAGATTAGACTTCAATTCTGTCCATTGTCTCTCCTTAATATTTTATCCTAAAACTGACAAAATTCTGATTTTCACGTCCCATTCAAGTATCAGGCCCTCTAGAGTGCACTGGGATGTGCCTGTGTCTGGAGGAGGGGCTGGGAACATCAACTCAGGTTGATGCCGGCTCGTGGCCCTTGCTTCCTGAATCATCTTAATGGGGCTTTTGTTAAATTCTTTTGGCACTAACAGAGATACTTGGCCTAAATGCCCCCTCCCCCTGCTTTGGGCAAAGGTATCAATTCCATTAAGCCCCCAAAGCACTCCCATCTGGTTCCTGGCAGTCCCCTGTGCCCTCTCCCAGCTGTGTCCTTGCTGGTGCTTGGCCCTCCATTTCGTTAGGAGAAGCAATCTCCTTGTTCCTGTGCTGTGGAGATATATTTCTCAGCCAGGGCTTGAGCAGTGCCAGCACTGCCCCCGGTGAGGTCCCTGGCAGCCATAAACATTTTTATTGTGATTATGCTGGTGTCAGGGTGTCCATCTGGGTTATTGCACACCTAGTTTAATTGATTGAAGTTTAATTTATTGACACTTCAAATTAAATGATCAGAATAAACTGTGCTGTTACTCTGGCCGGCTTGTTTTAATGGTTGATTGCTAGAAGCAGACCTTGGCTTGAACTAAAACCCCTAAAGAGTAATTGACGCTGCTTCTAACTCTCCCCAGGTCTTCCCTCCAAGAAGACCTCGTTATAGATTTCCGACATATTTATTTATATATATTTTTTCCCTCTCTGTCACAGTGGTGGGAAAGAGTTGGTCCCCGGCAAGGTATAAATTATATCAAAGGTCTAGGGGAACCATCACGTGGTCAGAAGGGGTGGAGGAGGCCTCTACATGAAGAAAAGCAGACCCTGGAAAGTCAGGTCCTGCCTGAGGGGCAGGTTATGAGTGTAGCTGCCCATCTATGTAAGGAAGCCTCAAGGCAGGTTAGGCTTCTCGTCTAGGTTCTTCCTGCTGTTTCTTATTCCGTTGGTATGACTTGGCTTGATATTGGCAGGGTATTGTCAGAAAAACTAGAGGAAGGAGGAGCAAGAGGGGACAATAAGGATGGAACAGGCATCATTGGTGCTTG